CTTTTGATCGGTGCGCGTACGCGGTGACGCGAAAGTTTGGTATGCCGATCATCCGTACGCGCGTCGTAAATAGCTGCATACTTACACGCCGCGCGTCCTCGCAGTGCTCCTGCGATTCGAGCGGCGTTCGCCCCTCGGAAACGTGCTCGATTCGATAATTGAACTTGACGCCGTAGCTATTGGTCACACTATAATGACGCTCGCGTTCGTCGTCGTTCGTAAAATCGGGGCTAATCGTCAGCAGTTTCCGCGCCTTGTCGTACGTCACGGTGCAGAGCAGCGTTTCCGAGTCCGTCGACCCGATGCTCGCGGGTTCATCCTTGCGTGAAAGATCGGCCATCACGTGCATGGTGGTGCGTTCGGTGTAGAGATAATGGCTCGATCGAATTCTGTCATTCGTGGGCTTATCGTCGATCACGTCCTTGTTATATCGCTCCCGAAAGGGCTTGCGATTACGGATGGTCGGCAATGCGGTCTGATTCTTCATGGACAGATACGATCTGCGAGCAAGAAAATTATCATTGGAATTAATGGAAAGGATTAATGAGCCAAATTGAATAAATTGTATTTATCATTTTTCTAGAGAAAAATAAAATATATATATATATATATATATATATTCTATAAATATATAGATAAATGCAATCGTAAATGTTTTCATAAACGTTCTTTTAAGGAAGTTCTCCTTAAAAGTTGCGGTAACAAAATAATTTATCAAACAGTTAAGATATATATAAATTAAATCATTGATCCATCTAAAGATAAATTCTCAATCAATGAAAAGTAGCGTAGAAAATCTTCGAAAACAAGAGGATATGAATGGAGCAAAACATATTCAATAATATTTCTATATTACTTATAATATTTTTCTTCTTGTACTTCGATAAATTCGATTTGCAATAAACTCGAATAATCTGAATTTTCAAATCTATATTTCTCAAATAAAAAAGGAGATCTATTATACGGGAATCTTTTAAAAAAGTGCTTTAATTATTCCTTTCCGCTTTATCTTGCGTTTAGTTTTTTTAAATAAAATCGTTAAGAGGAAAAAGATACACACAAACATTTCGGAATTTCTTACGATTGAATAAAATGCATTTGCAATATCTAACAATTAAATTGTATGCCCCTGCCTGTAAGGCACTGTGAGGAGATTGTCATCGGCATAGTAAGAGTCGTTCTCCGTGTACGAGTACAAACGAGCGCCCCGCAACTGCTCGTCGCGAATGCGTCGGTGATACTCCAGCTGACAATCGGTCAGGCAATTCTTCTCATCCGCATAGAAATCGATCTCGAATGGTCCGAACACCTTCTCCTGCCAGCTAAAAATACTGTCCTCCTCCTCCAAGAAGCTGGAGTCCCTGGTCTCGCCGCCTTCAGACTCTTCGGCCAACAACTCGGCCAGCGGAGACTTCTGCTGCACGACTCGCACTCTGAAACAACAAATGAACGTCAACGGAATTGAAATCTGGTGCAATTTGGAAAAGTTTCGCAGCCAGATGCCCGGGAGTCATTCCTTGATTCCGCAGGAACGCAGAACGAAGAGAATTTTAATCGCCATTCTGCGTCTTCGCTATTCACGCACATGCTGGCAATTACAAATTAATTATGAGAGAATCGAGCAAATTTAAAATTCTGCAAATAGCGTTACGTAATTTTCAAGAATGGAAATTCTAAAATTTTCCCACTAATATAAAGATAAACGCGCGCGGCAAAAAGAGATGAATATCTCAAATGTGTTATTGAAAAATACTTTGCAGTCTTTAACATCTCGTACAAGTGTTTTTCATCAGATCTTTTAGCGTCATTAAAATGTAGTAATATTCGATAATAGAATTTTCAACAAGTGAAAATTTTCCATCGTTATTTACTACGAAAATGACATTGTAAAATTGCAGAACTATAAGATTCTTCGATATTTCTTTTTCTTTGAAAAATGATGAATCAACTTCCGAAAATTACAAGGTTCTTTATTGAAAGATTCTCGAAACAAAGACTCTAATCACTGCAAATATCAGACACATGAAGAAAAGATGGCCATCGTACATGCGGGCTAGTTACATAACATTTCAGCACACACGCGCGCACACGCACGCACACACACACTCACACACACACACACACACACACACACACACACACACATCAGATAGCGCATCAGACAAGTACGTTCTCCCTCCAGCCTTTTCAACCTTCGCGTCTTCGTAATTAATATTTACGGAGTCAGGAATGCAATATTCTTCTACAATACGAAGATTTATTTAAAATGCCTATCACAAGATAATTATAATCTTTTTCTAATCCTCGCAAAGAGATTTATATTAAAAACGGGCTTTTTATAAGAGCTAAAATTATTATGTTTCTTTTATAAATGTGAATGAAATTAAAATTTTTTTTCGCATTTCAAGTAATCATTTCAATAATCATCTTGTAATCTTTCGTTTCATAAGCATATAAAATACCGTGAAGTTAAATGAGGAACAATAAGAGCTTGTTTATCCGATTACATAAACCTACTCTCGGATATGCATGGGCGTCTAATGGATCCACATGATAAACAGAGAGTCAATATATCATAGCCGCTTCCTCGTAAGCTTCTCTCGCCTTCGGAAGTCTCCTGCTGATTTAATACCGTCAGATGCTTGGCTATTCATATTGCAGAAAACTCTGCAAGTGCAACTTCTTATCTTCTACATTGTGTATCTAATTCTAAATGCTCCCTGTTTAAATCAAAGCTTTATTATACATACATATAGCTACATTGTACTGTAGGATAAAATATGATTTAATATAAATAATAATTTCATTTTGCATAACGCGAATGACCGAATTTGTTTCAAAGTTAGAATTTCGATCTCTGTATATTTAATAGACTTAACACTAAAATTGAAGTTATCTCTGATTATTTCTATTTTTCAAATTAATATTGTTTTTCTCGTTAATTAAAGATATAAGTTCAGAACTTTTCATCAATTATTGTCTTTATTTTGTTTGATATTAAAATCAGAAAATTTAAATATTCTATCTTTTAATACTAGAAAAAGATAAACATGCATCAATTTAATAATGCTCTTTCCTTCGATTTTCCTACAATTTTATAAATTCATGTTCTTTTATGCGTAAAATATAGTCTGAGAAAAATTGTCATTTCTCATTTTTTTTTATTTTGAAGGTTAGAAAATGATAATTTAATAATAGTTGTGTATTTACATTTATCATATTCTCTGCTTTAATTAAAAACACGTTATTTTCTTATATAATTTAAATTATAACAGAGTTTATAATTCAAAATTTATACTGTCTTTTCATTACATTCTTTTCATATAGATTGAAGTTCAAATATAAAAAGATTTTGAAATTAAAAAAACAGGACATTTTCCTCCTTAAAATATATTCTATGCGTAAAAATACGCAAATTTAAAAAATTACAAAAAAAATCAGAGAATAGAGCATCATGCGTATTTATCCCCAAAAAATATGAATTGGAAAAATGGAAACGATGTCAACAATAATTACTTGGCACTTTTAATAGTTAAAGTTATTTCTATCGATAAATAGATTGTTCTGGGCTTTAATCTTGATTTAGGATTATTTTCTATCTTTTTCCAATTCTTAGAAAAAGGTAATAAAAGGTAAATTAAGCCGAGATTAAAATTGATTTACATCGATAGAAGTCAACATTAAAGACACACCTTATTTTTAAATTACATATCGGTTCGTTCACTCTGTAGCTCGCCGCTATTCTCATTCTCTCTTTCTCGCACGACATCCTTGAATTGCCGCTGCGAGCCAGTATTACACTGACTGACTTGATTATTGTTACAAAAACAGAATCGTAACTGCGAAATGTTGAATAGGCTACGGCGACTGTCAATGATCTCGATGGCTCGTTTGTTGATTCATAACGTCGCTAGGCAACATCGTCGCTGCTGTTTGGCACGGCGTCAACATCGCGAAATTCGAAGCCGCCGCGGGAAAGAAGAAGATATATTCATTAGTTAACGTGAAGATACATCTCCATTTGTATTCGCATTTACATGAACAATATATAATCGTGACAGGCACATTTATTTTTTCATACCGCACGCATGTAAAGAGGTTCCC